AATCGCGAGCCAGTTTATGTATTATGCTAAGACGATAGATATCTCGAAACGCTTTATAATCGCAATACCTCTTCTGTAATTTGAATATATTCACTTTATTCGACTACAACATAATGTTTTACCAATAGGCTTCTCCGAATATCTGCTCCTCCTTAGTATTTCATAGATAGCCTTATATACTCTATACCTCAAAAATTACGCAAGGGCTAATATTCGGTCTTATTAAGTAGAATACACAAACGAATAACGAGGAGTAGATTTATTAATGAATTAACATGTAATACAAAATCAACGACATTGCGGAAAACTTCTTTAGCACACAACTCCATGAAATCCCCGAAAGTAGCCATCACCTGAAAAGAAAATTAAGCAGTCGAAAGATGTAAACATTGTTACCATTATATATAAAACATTTCAGTGATAGGAAGTACTAAATAGTGCGCTAAATTGTGTATGCTTACGTCATTCATTATTTTTCAAGCAGACAATATGGATATTGCACCTGCCTGGAAAAACCAAATATGTGTAGTATGAGAAGTTAATAACATGTGAGAATAGCTCCTGAGTGTTTCCGTAGATTTCCTTTAAATAAATACTTGTGAAGGACCTTTGAAACCATCACCCAAGGTACACAACATAGTGGAAATGACTAACAAAACCAACTAGTCTATCTCATCCTGTCTTTGTACAATCATTTGAACTGCAAAAAAACATGACTAAAAGTGGTTATAACATGTGTCTTCAAGTAATTCGACATTTTCTGAACGGAAAAGTACGTATTTAAATAATTTGTTAATTGGCCGTTAATTACGGCCGGATATGGACACCATCATTTGCTGTTTATGCTAAAAACGCCGTATTCCATCAACTTTTAGCAGGAATACAAGTGTAAAAGTGTGTAAAACAACGAAAAAGTACCTAAATTTTAGGTTCTTTCAATAAATAAAGCCTGTATCCATCAACTGATCAAATGGCCTATGGTCGTATACAGGCTGCACCTGCGTAGGAACAATCGAATATCAAACTGACCGCTACTGTTCTAGCCAATGAAAGACGAGAGAACATGAAGCGTGGTTGTGCCGGTTACACTGCTGAGGGCTCGGGAAAATGCGGCTTACCAGTGTGTAGCAGTCAGGCAGAAAGTTAACGTTGAAATTATTGTGGAACGTTCGGTGGTGGAGTTCGACAACCCAAGGAACTGACGGAAGGTATTAAAGCAGTCCCATACTATGGGGCCGTGAGCGAACGGAGGCTCTCTGTTGTTGGAAGTGAAGCTAAAAGGTCTGCTTGGTCGAGAGCTTGCCACCTCTGAAGAATATCAAAAGATGCTGTGGTTGACCTCTACACTTGTCGATGGTGTCTCAGGCCACATTTCTCAGCAGTTGAAACTGGGCAAGTTTAAACAACCTATTGACATCGGTCATTAAGCCAGCGTAGCATGACACATACTGAGCACAACTGTAACCGCAACAGAGCAATCGAAATCAAACCAGCGGAAGCAGAAAATGAAAATTTGCAGGGTGAAGTAGTAGCACTTTTAATGAGTGATAGAAGAGTCCAGTAAAAAACAGAACGCTAGGGAAAATACTACCTACAAAGAGAAAGAGGAAAGATACCGAGGAAGTAAAACGTGTTCTTTTTTCCCGATAGTAGGGCAGTCAACAGAGGGGTCAGGTAATCTAATTTGAATGTTGAGGAAGTCAGAAGTCTTGCTAATCTATATCGCTTCTTCAGAGTGAGTTCACTGACAATGCAAACGTTAGGAGGGGCGTGTCAAACTGCAGCTTTCACACAGGGGAGCGTAAAGTAACTCTCATGTTCATTGTTGTATCTGAGTTGCGGCAGACAATACTTGAGGCCTATTTTTCTCAAGATGTGCGTGTAATATATAACTAATGACGGGGATGTGATAACGAATCATGAAACTATGAGCATGTTTGAGAACACCCAAATGGTGGTGACGGTGGCGACAAAAATATTGAACATAACAAGGTTAGAGAATATGCTCATCACCGTAGAAGAAGACTTCTATGGTTATTGTCACAAGGTGAGGCGTAAAATGCCAGTGGCTGCTCGGAAAATAGCAACATTCGCCACGCGAAGAATACCATGTTGTACAGAAGAAGTTGAGCGGCAAGGGAATGCTAAGGGATGATATTTTTGTAGCAGCTGACGTCTTGTATAGCACCCTAGTCCTTTTAGGGAAGGAACGAAAGAAGAAGTTGCCAGTGCTGCTAATAATGACTAAATATCCAGTGAACTGACGTATTCAAACTCGTTTCCTTTCTGTTTAAGGTTATAATTACTACTGTGGTATAGTTGCTTGTTGTTCAGCAGAAGACTGGAATGATTCTATCAAAATTATCATTGTGAACTATACTGGAGTTTATTTATGGGCTTTGAAGCTGTATATTTTTGTAGTGTACTATTTTGGGCCGTAAACATTCGTCGTACTGATTTATTGTCAGTGGAATAATAAATAATCCTCAAGTTTCAAATTTTTCATCTTGTGCTCCCTAGTTTCATGCTGTTCACAGTACATTTAATTACATCTAGTGGTCTTTTGGGAATAGCAGAAGCCTCAGTATCAAAGTTCTACCGTATCATTATTAGGAGGTCAAAAACCAAAGAATATACAACAAGTTCTCTAGCAGGACTCTTCAAATTACGATATCTCAAGATTTTCGGGGTCCATCATACTTCTGTACGAAACCAAGTGTTTGTCTCGTCGCAATTTAGTTAAAATTACGTATTTATTACTCCATTTTGAAGCGCTTTAGTATATTAAATGGCCATGTTTGGCTATCTGTAAACTTTCAGTGCTGGGAACCGCATGTTGCCACAATTTATATTACTCGATATAAGGATAGAAATTGGGCACTGTGGTATAGTATAATTCCATTATGTGCAAAATTTATTTTGAAAAAGTCTCACAGGGTTGTACGGTAATATTTATTAGTGACATTTCTAGCAAAATTACTAATGACAGTCATATCAAGGTATTTTCCATATGAAATATGAAGAATAATGCAGTTATATAAACGAAGTTATGAAGTTGTATGAGTACCATGGTCTGATAATGAGCAATAAATTGTGCCCGAAACGTCATCAGTAAATATCGCTGTATAACGCTCTGAGGCTATTACCTGACCACAGTTTTCTGTTTCCTTTGTACATATACATATTTGTGTGGAAGTCCCCATGTTTAGTCATAACTTACTTCAGTTTGACTTAAATTTGAATCTGTGATTGTTTAATAAGAATGCCGGTCCCGTACGTACTGAAGAAGAACCAGATTAGAATGCTGTACAAAGCTTATGAAGCGGCGGTCATACCTCCCAGACGTCATTCTGCGCCGTGAAATCCTGTTTAAACGAGTGTCCTTCGCCATTATCAGGTATCAGCTCTGGTTTACTACATGAAATAGAGACAAGACATTTTTGTGCTGAGCATTTCCATCAATTTAAGCGCTTCTTGTTCTAGTGATTCTATATTTTCAATAGCCATATGCGGAAATGCTGCATTCATTGTGATATGTCTTTGCCTTCGAATATTCACACGAAAACCGCCTACGAAGAATAAACGCCCCACAATTCCCTCGTAGAATGTTCGCCCCAAGTAATTGATCAGAAACGATATATGACGTTACTAAAATCTTTGTTAACATGGAGGAAGATGGAAGTAGAATGGACACTGTAAAATAGCACAGAAACTAATCATACCACAATATGACGAGCAAAAGGGTGGTATAGCAGTGACAAAAGCATGTTTTGGTATTTGAGCGTGTGCATTATGCTTCGTTAATATAGATTATACCCATTCTAAAATCATGGTGAAACATTGAGAATTATGGGAACTATGCATTCACAAGTGTCTGGATTCAAGGTAGTATTTTTCGTAGCACGATGTATTTGCATGTGCAAGCTTATGGAGAACGTTGTTTAGATTTTGGAATTTTCCACACCTAGGGCGGAATCCCTCGTAAAACTAAGCAGCTCATAAATCCAAAGTGTAAATAAAAAGGATCTTAGTTATTGTTTTAGATATGGAACCAGGTGGTCGGACTGACACACAAATTATTCACGTATCAACCCACCACTGACAAAATTTAGGCAGATATTACTGAACGGTTACGTTATGTGAAGTGTGCTGTCAATGGAGTTGAAGATTGAACGACCAATTCTTGGTTGTTTGCTCAAAATCTACTTCCCCAATTTTCGCGGAGGCATCAATACGACAGTCATCGTCTCATCGGTCGCTGTTCAGAAAGAAGAGTGAAACATCGTCAGAAGTAATATTGTGATTTATTATTGTAATATTTGTTCACAGACCTTAGTTCAGTTATTATTTTTATATGTTGGTGTAACAATAAAGAAATCTCAAGCGGCAGATCGGTGTTTTGGTTTTTTCGTCCGTTATAACTAAGCGTTTCTGAAAACTTCAAGCGACAGCGTGGGCCCGAGCGTAGCGAGAGCTGGGCATTAACGGTTTATGAGACGTGATTGACATGTGCAGTAGAAGTACATCTAGAATAGGCAAGGCTATTCATCAATCAACGAAAACCAGCAAGAAATATCATAGTTTTAAACCATAAAAGTAGGCATTATTCACGTTCAGCCATTTGTATGCATTTGAAATTATCCCCGCGTCACTAAAAAATTTTGAATCTATCCGTCTGCTCTAGGGGTACCTACAGAATGCTTTGGTTGGGAAGGCTTACATGAGTTTCCCGCTTATTTGTAGCTAGAATTGTAGTGCGAGTTATACAGCAATGAATACTGAGCGAGTCGCTCCCAACCGAAACAGAGAGGGACACGATCGTGATTAGACTGATGTAATTTTTTAGTGAAGTCATCTTTCACATGTAATACTAGAACAATTAAAGGCATTTTTCGAAGTTTTTCTCGTTTATTCAAAAATCTTGAAAGAGTTTGCATTCACAGCAAAGTATAAAAGGCATCCTTTCGTATATTGGACACTTTGCGTGTTTTACTTCATCCCTTACGAAGGGTTTACTTTAGAGCGGGGTTTTGGTCCTCTAAAGTAGACGAAAGTGCCAAAACCTGATGGATTCGTCGATTGGTTGCGAGAGTGATGTGCCTGAGGTAGTTTTTGAAAGAAAGACTTCAGACTTCAAGTATGAAACCGAGTTTAGCGAACATATTTTAACTCCATTTACTTATCAATGTGAAATATCAAGGTTGCAGTATATTAAAGTAAGAAGTGCTTAATAACTTTGTTGAAGTTCAGATGTATTTATTGACCGTTATTATACTCCCATTCCGGGCCGTTGCAGTAGGCTTTTTGTTCACCGTTACCTTGTTGCTTTCGAATCTTTTCACATTGGGCTACGATGTGAAGTCTCAATTGAAGCCAGTATGTGACTTCAGAAGGTATTCATTGTTGATGAATTATTTACTCTTAGATGGCTACTGTTACCAATCGTTGTTTTATTCGCCCGGTTTGTATTTTTCATCGGTGGCTTCCACTGGATCACGTTTAGAGGAACACGTGCGTCACGTAAAGAAGCACCTATCCTAGTTGTTGCACCTCATTCATCATTTTTTGATTCACTTGTGGTCGTTGCACTCGGTATGCCTTCAGTTGTTGGAAAAACTGAGTCCGCGGAATCGTTTGTTGGTGGTTTTTTCAAGGTTCTCCAACCTGTCTTAGTAGACAGAGAGGACCCTAATTCTCGTAAGAAAGCAATTCAAGAACTTAATCGTCGTGCGAAGTCGAAAGACGACTGGCCTCAAATAGTTATTTTTCCTGAAGGGACTTGTACAAACCGCAGTTGCATTGCGTCGTTTAAGGCAGGTAAGTCAGGTCACGTAGATCTAAGTAGTGGGCCAAATATTTTTCTGTTTAATTTAGTTTGGTCGTTGTATATAATGCTTAATGTAAATGATACATGATAATACTCAATCATGTACTTTCCTCTTTTTTTACAGTTTACTTTGTCTGTGTACTATTAGTAATATAGGTTCATTGTCACAATGATGTTTTCAGGAATCCTGTGATCATAGTTCGTCTTAAATCATTGGTACACCCAATACAACTTATTTGGTGTTAATGCACAAAGCGTTTCAACTGGTTTTAAGTGCGTATTGGATAGCTATTTCCCGCGGATATTCTACCGAAGTGGATGCGAGAAAATTGTATGTAGTAGCTAAAAACGTCATGTGGCCGACCACTGTAACCAATGGCTAGTGTGCTGCGATTTTCTCTTTCTGAAAGTGGCATGAGGTGGTGATCCCTTACTTTAATGCTTTTGATAAGTATACCTACTTTCTTCCCACTGCGATTGCTTATTTATTCTATATTCTCGTCTTATTTATGTGTGGTGAGTCTCATGATGCCATTATTGTATTAAGTTCGTAAGTTTGAATATGATGTTAACTGATGATAGCAAATCTGGCCATCATTCTATCTTATTCTCGCTACTATCTGATCTCTTGTGATAGAAGGGAAGCTAATATTCTGTTTGATACTCATTAATTTCTCCAAGATGTGTCACTATCGATTTTGAGTAACTGACCACTCACCTCAATGTTCATGTTTTCTAGGTGCTTTCAATGCCGGGGTGCCAGTCCAACCAGTGATCGTTCGTTGGCCTAACCAAGTGGTAAGTCATTAATTTTATACCACTTAGCAGTAGAAGTAGTGACTTATTAAACATTACAATTTGTCTCGAATTTCCTTGGCTTCTGGATATGTTATGTATGTAGTTGCAAGTCGTGAGTGACAGCATTTCTAAAAACCTGTTCCACTCTCTTGTATAGATACAAGGGTGTCATTCATTAACCATGAATGGATTGTGGTTGGTTATTTCCTATGCAATTATTTATTCCTTTTTATATTCGTCAATATTAACAATGTAAAGTCAATCAGTCAACTCATAAAAGATATAGCTCGTGGTATGTAAGTCTATTATCCATAAGGTTAGACATCACTAGATGTAGTCCGTAATAATGTAATCCACCTGCATTTTTTTATCTACATGTACGTGCCAAAGCACATACATTGGAAGAACAGAGAGAAGGGTTATTATCCGCATTTCTGGACGTTCCAAAGAACCGGGAATACAGGGCACACACATCAAACGGTGCGCCTGCGAGACCCCTTTCAGACACTAGCCATACTGTGGCCAGTCTAAAGAAGTTCAAAAAAGTCAGTCAAAAAAAACCTAGTTTGCTACGTTTTGCTAAGGAAGTCCCTATCAAATGATTAAAGCCAAATCTGAAATATATCCATGTTGTAATGTAGTACTAGCTAGTACCAGACATCGTAGCGTGATAAATAAATGAATAACACAGCTTTTATGTCTGACAGTAAACAGCACTGTTACCCACTATATATTTCTTCCTCAGTTTTCTATTCCATAAATCCCTTATGGTAATTACTCTGTTAACTGTGAATCTAATTACTGTTGTATAAACAGAGAAAAGTAGTGTTTGATGATTTCTTGAGATAATGAACCATAAATTTGAAACAATAATAACCGTATTTTTCCATTCGTTCGACAACAATCAGCATCTAAGGTTGATCAAATGTATCTGTCTAAGTCACATAAACCAGTGAATCTTCGTTTGGTTTATCCAGTAATTCTTATCTTTTTATAACAGCTTATTTCTTATTTATGTCGTAAGCTGTGCTTATATAGAATAATTGGAAACCAAAAGTTCAACACTCAAAAACTGAAGGACATAAGCCACAAAGGACACTTTCACTGCAACTGTCACAGCAAAGCAGGAAACTGCGTGACATCACTAAGGAATCATGCGTGGAAGACCATTGGAACTCTCTGAAGGCGATTCTCAACGACACGTGCTCAACGGTTCTAGGAAAAAAGAAGAAAGAAGACACGGAATGGCTCTCAACGGACACTTGGAAACTAATAGATGAAAGGAGAATGGTGAAAGAGAAAATGATTCAATGCAAGGACGGACAGAAGAAAGAGACGCTATGCTCAACGTACACAGCACTGAACAAAGAAGTGAAGACGAGTGCTAGGAAGGACAAAAGATAATTCTACGACAACCTGGCCACTGAAGTTGAGAAGGCAGGTGGCAAAAGGGACCTGAGGACAATAAATCAGATAACCAAATCTCTATCTGGGAGGAAATCAACACAAATGAAATCTATAAAAGATAGCCAAGGGAAGCCCCATTACCAAGGAAGAAAAGCAGATTAAACAATGGGCGGATCACTTCAAAGGACTCTTGAACCGGCCATCACCTGCAACCCGTCCAGAAATACCAACAACAGCGCGCACACAACTGCAAATTGACACCAATCTCCCAACGACATCTGAAGTCTTGAACGCAATCAAGCTTCTGAAGGCTGGAAAAACAGCTGGACCAGATGGAATACCTCCTGAAGCACTGAAAGCGGACCCAGAGACTACAGCAGATATGCTGACTTCATTATTGCAAAAGGTCTGGAAGGAGGTAAAGGTGCCTACTGACTGGAGGAAAGGGTGACATAGAGGAGATCGTGTGAAGAGGAGTTGAAACAGTATGGCATAACATGGATGCAGGTGAAAAGTAAAGCAGAAGACAGAAGCAAGTGGAGAGGTGCAGTTGAAGCCCTATGTTCCACTAGGAACGCAAGGGAACAATAATAATAAATGCAGGTGCAGTGGATTTACTCGGAATATGTATCATTCACTCAAACATGTTGACATTTTATCTCCAAAGTTTTAACATTCTTACTCATCTTTTTAGTTAATTATTTTCCCATTGCCACTCTTTTATGTGGAAGTATCCTATGTTTATTCACTTTCTCTATCTGCTTTATTGAGGAGTGTATCAACTTCAAACCGAAACATTAACACGTAACCTAATCAATTGTGCGGAAATATGGGTATAAATCATCTACATATTATACAAAACCCACAGATATATCTTGCTGACATGTGACGAGGTAGTTGCTCATTCAACTTGTTTTTCCTAACCAGCTTTATATAGTCCAGACTTTGATATAAGAATAAAACTTGTACACTGTGGTTGAGTATAGTTCCATTATGGGTAAATTTTTGTTTCGTATGTAGTTGACCTCACAGTCTTTGCAGGTCAAACTAGTAGGTCAGGGATAGTCAGATTGTCAGAACATAAGAATTTAGCTAAGGTGACAATGGTTGACCCCGAGAAGACAAGTAATTTAGAAGAAAGCTCAGCAACTGCAATGCATGCATCAACACACAACCACACAATAGGGTGAGAGAGGGTTAAAATTCTAAAAAGTAATCTAGATAGGTGGAGAGAGAGGTTGATTGCTGAATCCTTGTTCATAGAGTCTACACCAAACACATGCAACAGGAATGATTCATCACTCATACCTGAAGTATGGAAAATACTGCTGCCAGTCAAATCAAGTGAAAAATAATGGAACCATATAAATGAAGTTGGGAAGTCGTGTGAGTACCTTGATATGATTATGAGCAATAAATTGTGCTCGAAACGTTATCAGTAAACATTACTGTATAACACTGTGAGACTTTATCAAACCAAAAATTTACGCATAATGGAATAGTCCAGACTTGCCCGATAATCATTGGTTGCCCTCCTCACGTCACAGAGTATCACTGGTGATCATAAAAACAACTTGTGATCCAAACTGCTTTTTCACAGATTTTGATTGCATTCAAATTCATGCTTTAACCTACGTATCGTAACCTACGTAGTCTTTCGTTGTTTCGGGATGGATACGGATACCTGTACATGATCGAGCTTCGATCCTTAACTGTCTTGTACAAATATTTTGTTCATTTAGGTGATAATGCTGGTGAACAAATATGATTTTAGAGACTAATCTCCATCTCTTATCTTTCTTTTGCCTCTTCGATTGGATGGTGTATTTCAAAAGTTTCAGTTTCTTTGTTTAAAGTAAGCGAAATAAAATCTGTGAGCTAATTTAGCTTTCAATCCAAATTCCGTTTATTTGTCGTCTTAATTCCATTGACGATGGATGGATTTCTGTTTATCTCATGCTACTTATTACACTATTATCTATCGTTTCCCCCTCCGTATTAATCCGGTACCAGCTTGAAATCATTACGCTTAACATTGACTCCACCAGTCTCCAATGGCAGTCAATATACATACGATTTTCCTACTATTGTATTTCTATCTTTACTTTTCAAATTCGTCCATGTTCCCCTTATGCTTTAAGTTGCTTCCTGACGGAGAAATAGTTGTTGTAAAGCAGGATTGCTTTAGACAGTTAATATAGATCATATGAGAAACGAGAATTTTGGCATTTTTTAAGGTGTCCTGCGTACTTTCTGTTCTCCCTGTCTTATTGTTACATTAGATAGTTACCACGATTACCTCCATACTTCTGTTGGTTTAGACTAGTTTTAAGATGTTTCTTGATACCGTCTTTCAGGGTGTACTGAAAGCCAAAAAAATGAGTGAATCCTTAGACGAAGATACATATCGCTTCTATTATTTAGAGGAATATTAACTTCAGACATAGTGGTGTTGAATTCAGGAATATCGATCGATTTAGAGATGCTGTTCAGGGTTGACAAAGCTGTGATAACTTTCATCTGCCCTCCTATCCAAATTAGGTTCTGTTATTTATGTGATTGATTCTGTTGACAGTTTTACAGGAGAAAATTTTCCCGAAGAAATATTTATCTACAGAACACAAATAACTAATTTATTGGTGGCTCCGATGGTTCCGTACAAGTTTTAAATAAGATCTCTAGGGGTGTTGAAGGTTCATGTAAACGAGAGTATTGAAAGATATATTTGAGGGAGTAAAAGCAGCTTTGAGATGTACTATTGTTAGTTTTCACGAGAACCCTTACTAATTTACGTGAGTGCTGCACATCTGATGTCTAGAAACTCATTGTGGATTTACTAAGTCCGAAGTCAGTGAAGCAGTGTATGAACGCGGCATCAGATATTTATAAGTTGTCTTGATTCCGTGAGTTAGTTGCGAAGGGCTGTTAACCTACGCAATGGCATCATTGAAGGAGGAGCATCCTGCTGTGTTGTGTTTGAAAAGCTTAGTTTGGTCGATAGTTTAAGTCCATAAACTTTTCGTATTTCTGAAAGTGTTTGTATTCACTACTTAAAAACTTTCATTACTCCCACTTTTTTACTCATACAATTAACATTCACTTCCGACAGTTACTGTGATATGACTCTGCTCTTATGTTAAGTGAATTCTCGATCAAAAATATATATGGGCACATGCAAGTGTATACCAGGATTTTGGTACGTCATCATGAACTTGGTTTAACAGTTTTCAGAAAAACAATATAACAGCAACCTTGCTCTTTTTACATAACGATGTTTACTGTGGCAATAAAACTTAGCAAAATGATTACCACTGTTCATTAAGTGATGGCGAAATCGTTCCGCTTTGCACTAAATTAAGCTGAATTTCTAGGCAAAATGTAAAATTTTTTAAATTTGGTTGTATATAAGGAGACCTTCACACATTAATTCTTTATGTTTTAGGATAGTGTGACGTGGGTTTGTGAAGGTCCCAGTGTGTAAGTTACTGTGTTCTCATTGTTATCGTATAAAGTGTGACTATTTTATGTTTTGGTCATATTTTGTCCAGTTTTTTTCATCTCAGTTCCAGCTCATAACATTATGTTATCTCTGTTTCATACTGTACCACATATTTGTGACAGTGTCCACCGAGGTGATTGTTTCACTCCTTTAACTAATGGCTGCGGGTTTCCGATTACTAACTTAATTATTTTATTTATTCTTTACTTGTAAGCCTTACTCAATCTAATAAAGACTTCTACGTGAACCAAAAGTTGCTGTTGTTGACAGATTTGAGCAAATTATATAAACAGGAATGGATAATTAAATATGGAGGGCATAGTAGCTGAATTCTCACTTATTAGACTGTTGTATGCACCCCGTTTTCCACCTGTGAATATGGACTGTGAAGATGTCTAATGAAAATTGTTTTTAAAAATAAAAACGACTAACTTCAATTTCGAGTGTTATAAAAGTTTATTATTATTTTGCGGGTGCGTCGATGGCACAGCGGTAGAATGCTCGCCAACCACTCACGTGGTTCGGGGATCGACCGCCGTGCGACACACTCCTTTACCTCTCTAAACCAGGGATAAGATTGGTAATAAGGGGAGGTTGGGTATGAGGCTAGCAACCCCATCCGTAAAAATAAATACCACTGCTAAAGAAACCTCAAAGCTCTAGTTTGAAGCCCGATGTTCCACTAAGAACGTAAATTATTATTATTATTGCTCCTTTGCGTTCCTAGTGGAACATAGGGCTTCAACTGCACCTCTCCATTTTCTTCTGTCCTCTGCTGTACTTTTCACCTGCATCCATGTTATTCCATACTGTTTCAACTCCTCTTCACACGATCTCCTCCATGTCATCCTTGCGCTGACGTCCCACGCTCCGCTTCCCTTTCGGGTTCCACTCGAGCAATGGCCTGACCGGCGATGTCACCCGGCGGTCTCCACAGAGAGTGTCCGATCCATCTCCACTTTCTCCTGCATATTTGTTGGGCGATTGGTTCTTGCTTTGTTTGTTCCCATAATTCCTTGGTGATTCTTTCCGGTCCGGCCATCTGATCTTCAGTATAGAGCGAAGACAGTTGTTAATAAAGGTCTGCAACCTTTTGAAAATATTCTTTGAGGCCCGCCAAGTTTCTGATCCGTATAGAAGAACTGACTGATTTGACGTTTGTATTGAAAATCCGACCGAATTTTGTTGTTGATGCTGAGTGACGAAGATTTCCTGATTGGTTTCAGGCTGATGAATGTGTTTCTCGCCTTCCCGATTCTCGATTTGACATGCTCGTCCGTTCCGACTGCCTGTAGTTGAGACAATGCTCCCTAGATAAGTGAGTGAATGAAGTAACCCCTTTCAAATCCCTCCCGTTGATGGTGATTGACGTTGGATGTTGTTGCTGTTGTTGGTTGGTTATTTTCATAACCTCCGTGTTGTCTATGTTTACCTGGAGTCCTGTCTTCACTACCTGCTTCTTCGACCAGTTTGTTGGTTTTCGCTTGTAAGTCTTCGATTGTGTGTGACATCAAACATAAATCATCCACGCGCGAAATCCAGGTCTTCTAGGTTCTTCACGTCGGTCCAGGATATTCCTGTCTTCTCGTTTCCCACTGTGTGATGCATAATCCAGTCCACCACAATTAAGAATATCATCGTGGGTGATAATAATCACCCTTGTCTGACTCCTTTGTTTACTCCAAACGCCTCTCTGAGTTTTCCGTTGTGGATCACTTGACATGTGTCTTTGTTGTACAGCTGTTGAATAAGGTTGATGAATATTTCGGGTACGCCATAGTACTCGAGTAATTTCCAAATTACTTCGCAGTCAACGCTGTCGAAGGCCTTCTCAAAGTCTAAGTCTGTAAAGTTGAGGTAGAGGTTTGATTGCCATTCCATGCTTTGTTCTGTGGTGATGATTCGTGGAGTTGCAATTTGGTCAGAACATGATTTGCCTTTCCTGACTCCAGCTTGTTCTGGTCGGAGTTCTGTATCCAGTGCGTCCTTTAATCTCTCCAGGTTGATGCAACTCAGGATTTTACTTGACGTCGATAGGAGCATGATTCCTCGCCAGTTCTTGCAGAGTGAGGCGTAAGTCGCCCTTCTTTGGTAGTTTCACGAGGTAACCTTTCCCCCAGTCAGTAGGCACCTTTCCCTCCTTCCAGAGAACGGTAAAGAATAAAAAAATTAATTAGCGGGAATGTATCTTGGTTAGAGCGATGTTCAAATGAAAACACTAGGTTTTAAAAGTGGTGTAGTTTAGTTATCAGCTGATAATTTTGCATAGGTAGTGTATTTTTTACTGAATGGCGAATAGTTTGTATAGCTTTTATGGTAACAATGATATATGAGATATATGTGCACTCAGTAGGTAAGTTTTCCATATTCTGCCCTTAATTTTTTGTCATTGTCTAAAGCTAACTACATGATTCAACTGACGTGATATATCTCATCAATGATTTCTTACCAACTTAGTCTTGCCTTTATGTCTAATGAGTATTCTAGTGAAAACCTAAATAGTGAACATTAGGATTCATTGTTTCATGTATGAAAATATTCCTTGCAGTAAACTGTTGAGTACTGATTGTCTGCGACTAGAATTATGAAAGCCTTGTTGAGAAATTAAGTTTGTTCAGGTTTTACACTGAAAGTTGCGGAATGAATGGTTGTTCGTAGCAGTCTAAGGTACTATTTCTCATCTAATAAGTTATCGTTTGGAATCAGTCCCCATTTTAACCATATCACATGTTTAGACTGACAGCCTTTAGTTTAGATGCTGATACCCTGAATAGAACTTTAGCATAAAACTTTGCACAAAAACGTAGTAGTTCAGACTATCAACCTTCATGAAGCAGATCAATGTAAAAAAAAATACGAAAAAGCTATGATGAACGGAAACATGGAGAAGGAAAATACACAGTATTGAGGATTCAATGAACATGGACGATTACAAAGAGTAAATGCATCTGAACCACTGTCAGCAGTTTCAGGTCATGTCACTAACAGTCGCCAGGCATTTGTTCTTAGGATCTCTAGGACCCCAACTAGGTAGTCTACGTTTCAAACATGACTCAGAGCAGCAGTCAGACTCTATGGATTGATGTCACGCTTTGAACTGATCACCCCCGACTCTTTCCCAACATTGCAAATAGAAGAAAGTCATGGCTTGGTGCGTGTCGTAGCCATTTCAACTGATACAGGTTTGCAGTCTCATCAACTGACTTACCCTCTTTACCTCACACTAGACGCCTAACCTCTGTATCACTATGTACCGCTTAACACGGTATATAAAACACCGTGTCATCAAGTAAAGTACTTCATGTCTCCCACTTTCAACGGTATGTGTTGAAGCCGTAAAGAAAGGAATGGCTACACACTCTCTCTGATCGATAACCGTGACAAACTAGACAGTTTTTGATAAGTCTCGTCTGGACTGCAGTTAGTTATGAAGTCGGCGAAGGTTATAAGAAGACGTCAGTGATTATCGCAGTATTTACTTAATATGGATTCTCTCAGCCGGACAGCACATATACGTCTACCCATTGGGATCCATTCAAGTAGGGATTTTTCTGCACTTGCATTCAACTCTATTCCTACACTTGCAAGCTTACAATCATGGTGAAGGATATCTCGATATTTATGAAGTGAACTTTGTAGACCCATCATGTTTATTAGAAGGGTTCAAGTGGAAAATCAAACCTGGGTCATTTGTATGTCTTCGGATCACAACGTACATCATTGGATCAAGACGCCGTAGTTCTGACTAGTGAGACCAGATGTTATATTTGGTGATTGGTCGACGTTGGTTATTCCAGTACAAAGGTAGTGGTTAAAGTTAAAGAACGTAGTGATCAGGAAAGTTTTGTATGCGTGTGGAGGTATTGTGTGGTCTTTACTTCCCTGCCGCCAACCCTGGGGAAGTAGATTTTCTCTTGAAATGCCTGTAACAGAAGGAACGATAGAGTTGGAAAATCCCGGAGCGCATAAGGCAACAGCTTGAAGCCGGCCTCACATGGCATGTTTGAAGTGGTGTCTGGAGTTGTCTGTGTGAAGGTTTTACCTCCAGCAGCAATGTAGGTCGGTATGTAAAAATTTTGGGTGTGACCTTCGACGATCCCCGTTTGTCACAGTAGAGAGGACGTGTAGCTGGCTTGGTGACTTTCTCATAGAAATACCTTGTTGCTGTTACATCCCTTCTCGTCAGCAGTTTGACTTTACTTTCACACCCTCAACATAGTATGGGCGACTTATATTAGGATGGTAACTGCGGTTGTCTGATTGCGATCTCATGAACTTTCAGGTATGGTAGAACCCACAGGAATATTCATCTCAGCAAGTGTGGGTCGTTGGATCATCGCGATATGCAAGTTCGGCCGTCATATCAATGTAGTAGCTATCCGTTTCTTAATTTAGTTGCGACTTGTAGTTTATTGAGTAAAGATTTATAGGGATAATCAGTAGGGCAAACTTGCATTCATGCAGATATTTTCCATTTTGCAAGTCTTAATAGGTTACTGAACCTGCAGAGTCTTATTATGCACTAATGTGCACCTGTTTATTGTTTTCATTTCTTTATTGTTATTGATGCATACGGATTGCTGGTTGTTGTTTATCTCAGTCATAATATATTGGTTACCTATGTCAAAATGGTTTCAGTCATCGGATGTCCTTCGCTCTCATAGTGAAGCTCGCAAATGTAGTTTCCTCAGTTTTTTTGTCTCTCTAAATTTTTATATTTAGACGTAAATTTCTCATTTTAAAAATAATGTTCCACTCGTATACTTTTTTACGATTGATTTGTCGGTTGTTTTTCTCCTATATATATGTATATATATAATATTAGGTTGAAGTTATTATGGCTGACGATGACTCAGTTTTACAACAGATTGGAAATAGAAGTAAGTCTATTTGCATTTCGAATATTCTGGTAAATTTAACTGTCAAACAGCAGTGCTGTTTCCACGGTGGTATTTCAATAAACTCGCAACATATGTCTTCAAAGCAAATGATTTGTAGGCAGAGAATTCACTTCTAGACATTTTTAAATAGTAGGTTTTACTAAGTCTCCGAGGCATGACTGCAGTCAGCATTTTTGACGTATCCAAATAGTGAGCTAAAATACGCATATTTCATAGACCGTTTTTAAAAAATATGACAGACTCATTTCCTATTGGTGTTATATTATTCAAACTTAACCAAATAATCTAGTCCGTTTAAGGACTAAAATTTCACAACCGTGTTCAGAATATTCTGAGGATAAGTCAGTCTGACTAGGTGTCTTAATGCGCTCATGTGCTTGAATTTTCTTTCAGATTTTCATGTAGGTGAATTGGCATTAACTGACTGTAAGACACTGTGATCAGGTTTGTTGAAACAGAAAGTCAGGAACCAACGAAACTCTGACATGTCATCGGCAGTTTGTGACAGTATGATGTTTTCATTGTTGAAGTGGTTGCAATCAATCGCCACTTATTATAATCACTTCATCATAATTATTGCTCGCCTGTTGTAATTCATGTACTCTATTTCATAACTGTCGTCATTATCTGTTCTCATAAATAATTGTTAAGTATTATTGTCGTACTATTATTCAACTTGCAGTATTTATTTTCCTGATGGTAATCCATGCAAATTTATCCTTTTTGTTCATGTTGTTACCCGTTCGTATCAATATCAATGCTCCCTGATCACGGTTGTACTTATTGCTTTTCAGGAATAGCTGTAACGCATCAAAACATAGCGTCCACTAGTATTATTAAAGATGATTAATAGTGTTCATATGATGGCAAGCTGTTCAAAAGGTTCTCAGTGATATTTGCATAAATGTTGAATGTGATCGTATGCCTATGCAGATGTATAATGTAAATATGAATACCATATATATAGATCATTTCTCTTTGAAAAGATCTGGGAGGAGCGGTGTTTGTGCGAAATTTCGTTTTTAATGTTACTTTTCTTGTCTGATATAAAAGTTTTCATTTTGCAAACTAATTGTGTTTGAGTCAGTTTGATCTCAGAATAATATTTTACTGACTGGTATGCTAAATTAGGCTAGTTAGTCGTATGCTTTTTCATGTAGGTTATTTACTTTGATATTTGCAGTAAAAATGTTTCCCTTTTGTATTAAACTCCAACAATAGTTTTTACCAGTTTATCAACCAAACGAAGATGAACAGTTAGACGCCCAATTGTATGCTGATAACATACGCCGCATAATGGCTGGGTAAGTATAGTAGCATCGTTTCTCCATACAAGTTTATACTTGTATTAAGAGTATTTGCCCTTCATATATATATATATATATATTCTTGTTTACAGAATTTGAAAATGTATTTGACAATTGCTGACTGATTTTGTTTTCATGTAATTAAGAGTTTAAAGCCTTTTCAGTGCTGCCACATATAAAGGAGTTATCGAAAATACCTTGTAGGATTTCTAACAGTGCTAAGATAAGATAAGATTCCTGCCCGACAACAATCAGCATGACTGGGAGGAACCTGAAAGAAACAACTTCCTTTACCTACCTACCTAGGAAGCATCGTTTCAACTACAGGCCGACGGAAGTGACGAGGATACCAAAGCAAGGATCGGAAAAGCATAACGAGCTTTCATTACTCTCAAGTCTGTATGGAGGTCAACAGCACTCACCATCAAAAATGCGATCCGGATTTTCAGCTCCAATGTGAAGTCAGTTCTACTTTCTATACGGATCAGAGACTTGGCCAGCGCGTCATAAAGAGTATCTCAAACAAACTTCAGACCTTCATTAATAGTTGTCTTCACTCAATACTACTCGAGATCAGATGGCCAGAAAAGATCAGCAATAGGGAGGGATCTCTGGAAATGGGCGAACCAACTCAGCAGGAACCGATTGTGAAACAAATAGGCAGGAAGAAATGGAGATGGATTGGCCGTACGTTGAGGAAACCATCAAGTGGCATCACTAGACAAGCTCTCGTTCGAGTAGAACCCGAAAGGGAATCGGCGAGTTGGTCGTCAGTGATAGGGTGGGGTGACTTGGAGGAGGTCATGTGAAGAGGAGATGAAAGCATGTGGGAAGACTTGGAGCGGGGTGAAAAAGTTGACAGAAAACCGAAGGCAATGGATACGCGCAGCTGAAACCCTATGTTCCTCTAGGAATTAAAGGATATAGTAATAATAAGATAAGAATGGTACTCCAACCTACAGTAATATACCAAATACTGTTTAGTCAAATATGCTGATGACCTAACTGTATCTTTACCTGTAAAATGTCAAAGTGACTGCTCTAAACTAAATGGCTTCTTATCAGAAATCAGCCAATGGTCCAAGGAAAACGGTCTCACCTTAAACCCCTCCAAATGCCAAATAGTTAATTTCACCTTTAGGCACAAATCGGACCTAAACAAACTGGTTAGCACTCACGAGGTGTGCAACATAGATGGCACTGAAATAGAAACCAAATCAGAAATTAAATACGTAGGCGTTATTCTATCTGCTGATCTTTCCTGGTCGTCTCATATCTTGATGATTTCTAAGAAATTTTCCGTCTTACCTTCTACATCAAGAAGTTAAGACATTCTGGAATAACCCAACCCAACCCTTACTCCTACAATTCGTTAACTCTCGCATTCTGCCTATTATTCTCTATTGTTCCCCCTTAGTCTTTCCTGGGCTATTGAAGAAAGACTATACCTTATTACGTAGGATATTAAAGGTTGTCAGCAGGGTAAGCAGTTTGCCACTTAGCCAGCTTGTTAATATTCTGGTGGACAGGCACATGGACTCATGTGAAAAATGGGCTAAGTCCATTTGATCTAACTCACACCACCATCTTCATTCACAACTCTCCCCTTGTATCTCATCAGGCGAAACCAGAAGCCTATGTAGGAAACTATATGCCCGCACTAGCAAGTACAAAAACTCAACCATACCCTACCTAGCTCGTGTTCTGTGAGATAAAGAAAGCATAAGGCGTGAAACCTTTAACTTATTAAATAGTCAGTAGAACAAATAGATCTCGTCTTTCCAACTCACATCATTTACAGGTACAACGTTTTCTCTCTATTTTTTTTCATTCTGTATTTATTTTTGTTATGTTCTGTTTTGTTTCTCTCTTCCTTACAAACTCTACTTAAAACATTCTTGTTCGTTCTTTCACACTCTGTATATCTCGACCATTTTGTTATCGCTTACGCCAGTAAATATGCTAGTGTAACAACAGAAGACAAGGGCCAGGCAACAGATCGTTTTATTATGAAAATCAACACGTATTTATACATATTTCAGACAACATTATTATAGACAAGCGCAGTCATCTGATTGGTTGTTTAGGTAGACAAACGCAGGCTTCTGATTGGTTGTTTCGGGATTCCTTGACAAACAGAGTTCTCTATCTGCGAATCATATTTTGCCACGTTAACTTCGCTGTGATTGGTTGTTGACTCAGCCTTGTTCACGGCCCATATTAGTGACCTAGACCTTAACGTAGATTAGTGCCAACCAATCGGCTAGCAGCCTGCTCTCACCACACTCGTCCCCCCGTCAAATACGTGCGACTGAAGTCGGCTTGATCTACTTGGTGCAGGCGTCATCGTTGGCTTGTCTCGCTGTATCCATTTCTGGAGCTCGCTGACGTTCACGCGCCTCTCATTGTTCGCCATTGCGACTGTGTCTGCGTAACCCCATCTCGAAGTGACCATATATGGTCCTTCCCACTTTGGAAACTGTTTGCCTGACCCTGTCGAACATTCGTCCATACTTCGGCCCACACCTTCATATGCTGCTTTCGCCCGACCTCCCAGCAGCGTCTCAAGTAGCAGCTCCATCGCTGACAGATCTTGAACGCCACTCAACTGCGCAGAAGCCTTGAAGTCCTGCCCGAAGATCCATATGTCTCCATCAAAAACTGCAGGGTATAGGCTTTTCATTTGTCGGTAGGCAGCGACACCAAATGTAACAACAGAAGACAAGGGCCAGGCAACAGATCGTTTTATTATGAAAATCAACACGTATTTATACATATTTCAGACAACATTATTATAGACAAGCGCAGTCATCTGATTGGTTGTTTAGGTAGACAAACGCAGGCTTCTGATTGGTTGTTTCGGGATTCCTTGACAAACAGAGTTCTCTATCTGCGAATCATATTTTGCCACGTTAACTTCGCTGTGATTGGTTGTTGACTCAGCCTTGTTCACGGCCCATATTAGTGACCTAGACCTTAACGTAGATTAGTGCCAACCAATCGGCTAGCAGCCTGCTCTCACCACACTAGTAGTATGTACTTTTCTAACACCTTCAAACACTCTGTTTAAATTTTGGCTTTGCTACTGACATGCTAATATGTTGTTGTCAAAACTGACTGAGTAACCTTAATCTATGTAGAACTATATTTATTGTTAATGTACTAACTGGATGCAATATTGTAGTAAAATGCTGAGAATTCCATTCTGTATCACAAGTACTGATTTGGAATAAAGCTTATCTTATCTTAGTGACTCTTTAGTCAAGTAAATTGGTAAAAGTAGTTGGTAGGTTCTCGTGAAATAAGTAATCTTGGAAGAAGCTGATTTATTGCAAGGCATACAATGATTCACAAGCACACTAGGATGGGATAGCTCGGAGGTTTTAAAACCCAGTCTAGTTAGGGGAAGATTAAGTTTGATTCCCGGGCTTTTTTTGTTGAATCTACACCAAATATATGTAAATGCGATGATTCAACTCCCATAGTGGATTCTACACCATCGTATGCAAAGAAAGAAGACATTAGGGATTACGAAAAATTAGATTCATTTGTTGAACAGTAATCAGTGTTCGTGACTTAGTTTTGTAAATCGCATTGCATCGCTGTATGCTTTATCAAAGAAATAAAATACTGGAGCTAGTGAAAAGCCACATAAACTGTCTACTCGTATTCGGGACAAACTTTTTAAATGTAGAATAATAAATCTTACAATCAAGTAAGAAACGCGACTTGCGAAATAAAGTACCGACTGCAAACGTCATCATATCAGATAACCTCAGTGTGCGAAATCACAAAATGTTTCGTCTATGAGACAGCAATTCAATGTAATGCTGGGATCTACTAATTCCCATGTTACGTATTCACTCATAGTCACACTTGGAGTAATTATGCAAGTGCTAATAACATTTCTCGATTCGATGACGATAGAAATGTCCTAATAAGAACTAAGAACTAGAGATCATATGATTCTGTCTGTCTGTCTGTTTTCGATATAGAACTTTGCACACATGTGCGGCACTTCAAGTCGCCACACTCCATGTACCACACAAACCAAGAGAAGAAAGCAGAAGAAATGTATAATAGAGACAGTAAACAGAGGTGTGGGACAAAGGAATAATGGTAACGAAGATCAAAACAGTTTCATCGGAAATCATGAGTCACAAGGAGTGGATGCATTTGTGCTAGCCATTGAGAACGATTTTGAACCATATCACCAATTGTTTCCAACCATTGGTTTTTACTGTTCCAAGGAGCCCAACCAGTCAGGAAGTCTACACCTTCCTACGTGGCTGGCTTAAACTGTGTTGTGGATTTCATTGACTGGTGCGATGTTTTTGTTTGACCTCCGCTAGCTCTTTTCCAGCCTGACGCTATGTCAGCTATATAGCCCATTGTCGAGGAAGGCGATGACTAGGCATATGTGACACATGTCCTAACTATCTCAGTCGATGTAATTTCATAACCTCATCGATTGATTTCCCCTCCTTACCTAGAACTCGACCGAAGCCTCACCTCAATATTGCTCACCTTATCATACCACTTCAGACGGGAGATAGAACGCAGGCACCTATGATCAAAGACAACTAACCGCGCTTTTCATGTCTTCCACTCTCAATGGCGTCTCACTCTCAGCGTCTTTGCCTAGAAGGACTATATCGTCTGCGTATTTTAAGTCAACGAGATTATTCCCTGGTAGCAAGTCAATCCCTGATTCACTGGATCATATGATTCAATTCAAATAACTTCTGATGTTAAGCTGCAATTATTCAACGCAGACAAGGGGAATTTATTATGGATTGCTTTTCGAAAAAGACTATTTTTAAAAGTTTAAAAGGAGAAGTACACTCACTAAATAGAATCAACAGAGTGAATTAGCACGTCGAACGCTGATCGAAATTAGAAGCCGATTAACTTAAACCAAAGTTTTTAAAGAGTTTAATTAGGCCACCTACCTGCTTGAGAAAAGACAGTTTAGTAGAATGGGCTCCGATTAGCTATGGATGACGACATGGTACTCTGTCCTTCCTCATATTGAATGGATTGTCTACTTAAGCTCTACAAACTAGAACGATTACAGCTTTAAGTAAGCCTTTGCATTGTTCAGTAAGTTTTTTCTAGTTCTTGATATTAAGAAGAACCGTGTTTTTCTTGTTTTACAATTAGATACTTGAACGTTCCATTGTGTGATTTGTCGTATGACGATTTTTGTCAGATCAGGATTGCATGCAGGTACAAACTGCCGACCCCTGAAGCTGTTGTGTATTTAAATTCATTACTTCAAATAATGTTGTAAGTGGCTTTTGTTACTACCGTTTTCATGTTCTCTTTACATTATAAGTGATCGTTTTGACCGTAGGGTAGTGCATCTTCTGTTTTCAAATTAATTCAAAGTTCCTGGTTATTCTCCATAGTAAGTGGATTACTTAAGTAAATACTTTAGTGAAGCAGTACAATCCATAATATATACATACATTTTATATCATGATTGACGTTTACTTCGTATTCAAGACTTTTGTATCAAATGTAACATAGTGATTTCAACAACATACTTTACCTGAATTACTTAATTTATGTAGAATATTTATTAGTGCTAATAGCGAAAGTGCTCCGCTGGGACTTGAATCCTTTATGTTGTGTGTAAAGTTTGATAAGATTTCTCAACCTCTTGATGACACTGATTACATCGTGTAGTACTGTTTAAGCGGCCACAGTATGCAAATAAATGCATACATGAACATAAAGACACAAAAGTACTTTTTTTTAAACAGTTTTATGTTCATCTTTGTTACTTTTTGTCAAACCATGCTTCATTAGTAAACTGATGTGACTGAATGAATTCAACGTCACTAAATTTTATACTTGATTATTGATTTCAGCGGCATCAGTGTATTTTATTCATTGAAGTGACCGATGAGTACATGTTAGTTCCTACTTTGTTTTAGACTATTTTCTCTTCCTACTTATATTTTCCCCACACCCTCGTTTAATTTGCAAAGTTCTAAATGACAAAACAGTTTAGCCCGCAACGGCAGTTTGTGCGTCAAAGATAAATTATCCATTTAATAATACCGATAATTAATTGATATGGACTAGGTTATTTTAGGATGTGAGTCATCTGAAAAACTTGATGCTTCTGTATTAATGTAATGAAAAGCTAAGTTAGTTTAAAAAAGTGAAGGACTGTGTAGTCATTTACGCCAAGCATAACAGTCGGGGGAAACTAGAAGGTAGGATGTGCTCTCACTCAAATGAATGCTGAAAAATGGTAAAGGTTGCAGCTGTCAGTTCTTAGATGTTTTGATAGCTTTGCAATTTTGTGCGTAAATTCCATCTCATTATTATTTTTTGATTTTATTGATACCGGGTATAAATTCTTCGAATCAGTTTAATCTAATCAGTCAAAGCCCGTGAACTGTGGTTTATCATTTGAATAGTGTTGTCTAGTGTAGGCACTCCAAAACAAGTACACTGCTTAAAACAATAATCGGAATACTTATATTTCTTTAACACTTAGCTCTCTGGAACTTAATCGTGATGCTACGTCAGAAGAAGATCAACAATCCGACTGGTTTCAAGCACGTCTAAGCAGTATGCTGGATATATGCCGTAACAAGCCATACCTATCGCGTTCAGAATTTGTTGAGACACTTTTCCCAACTAGTCGACCTAATTCGAAGGCCATGTACCTAATCAATTTGGTTTCTAAGCACTATGGTGAACCGGTGAGTAAAGACAGATTGGTTTTTGAAATGTAATTGCTTTAATTTGTTTTTATATAGGTTTTAACTGATTTGATTTTCGTCCCTTTAAACACCTAAAAAATCCCAATATTTTAGGTCATTCACTCTAATGACTGTCCTCCACGTTTCATGAAGTGTAATATTGTTTGCAGTGTGAGTTACCTCTTCACGAACTGCATTATACTAAGTTTTGGCTCAAAGTTGAAGGCGCTGATAGAGAAATAATTATGTTCATTGCTTAACTAACTTCAACTGAAAAAAGAACATGATATAGTTGTGAAGCTGTGTTTATAGTTAAATTTTAATTATTCTCTCAGAAGCGAGGGGTATGCCTAGTGGGAAAGTAGTCATTTACAGAGATATTTGTAAACGGTAAACAGAATGGTATCGAAAAACCCTCCGGTTAAATTTGGATGTTTAAATTTAACGGATTGGTAACAATTTATGCTCATCAGATGTTGTCATCCCAATTTTAATGCTAAGTAGTCACTGCAGTAATTCCAGTCTTACTTTGCTGTAAGTTAACTGCATTCGACTTAGTTGAAGCGATTAGACATCACACAATTAAGAAAACTAGTGATACATGAAAAAGTAGATGCAAAGTCCAGCCCAACCCGGCGCAGGAAACGGTAGCTCGGTCGACAACTGGCATTTTGATATGGTAGTCGAGAACGTATGTACGATTTTACGAGCCCGTCTAGGTGGTTATCACTAGGAGTCCTTTCTTCCAACAATAGTCGACTGGAAATAAGTAAGACTGAAAGACCAAAAACCGATGTTAACACAGGGTTGGTTGCATACATTACTAGGCAGCTAGTGGGACATCAGCAAGTTTTTGAAAGAAAAACTTTACTGCTTTTCCTGTTGTGATGGTGATAGGGTGGGAGGGATTGGGTTGGAAAACAAGGCACCGCTCTGCACCTTGTAGCTGTCTATAACTGGCATCATGGTTTCATATGAAGCTCGAACTAACTTTTTTAGCATTCCGCATTTTGCCAACGTCCACTGAATGTATCTCAAGGTGTGCGATATAGTAAAAGTTATCATCCCGCAAAGAAAGCCAGTATACCTCTCACTGTGTGCATGGCTAGGAATAATTTTCTACTTGTACATCTCTGTCTTTTCTAAGTTCCCGTCTGAACATCAGCCATCTAACTTATTACTTCCTCAGATTTTTTCATCTCTCAGATGATATGTGTGCACTAATTTCAAATTCCTCTTCTGTGGTTGTCTGCATTCATTTAATAGCATATTTGGTCTCTCGAACTGAATCTAAACTAAAGTTGAAATTGTTAACAGACGGTGACAGTTAGTGTAAATTTTTTTGCGTCTTATTACCATGTTATTATTATTTTTACTTTCCAGCTGTCAAATACTGTCAATTTTCGCATGTGTATGATTCACGGATGTATGCTACTGTTTACGGCTTCTCCGAGCCAAGCTTTTCACTACTCTTCAAAGGTAATGTATACTTTGTGACTCTCACTCCTAAATTTGATATTTAATCAGTGATATTCTCTTTGTAACTGTAATGAAGGCAGTAACGGAACAAAACTTCGATAAGGAATACTGAGTTTTCATGTTGGTCCCCTTAAGAGTTAGAGTACGAACTTTTCTATTCACACTACGTATGGGGACACAACGGGTTGCTACACATTTAGCGCATAGAAGTGCTATCATCATTAACTAAGTTTAGTGTTATTTGCACTCTTATAGGATATATTCTAATGATATATTGCACTGATTAAGGCACTCTACTCGTACTCATACAGCCAGGTGAGGGCTTACGGCCAGCTGTCATCTGAACTGGTGACGACCAGTGGTGTCCGTCAAGGATGCCCATTATCCCCTTTTCTATTCAGCTTCATCATAGATGTGTTAATGGACTTAACCCTAAGTGACTTCAGCGACTCAGGGATTGACTTGCTACCAGGGAATAATCTCGTTGACTTGGAATATGCAGACAAACATTCAATACATCCAAACTATTTTGAGTTATTTAGAGGCTTGTCACAAATGTCTTTAACCACGAATTAGTTTTTAAAAGCAATTCGAACATTCCCGTTGATTGATTGGATGGAAATGCACAGCCTCAGGTTGGTATGTTACCTCTTTGTGCAGATGTTTCGGTATCTGCTTATGTAACTTGAATTAAATTGGTAGATTGTGGCTAGTAGTGGAATTCAGAGTGCGCATTTCTCCCTATTTTGGACTACTCGTCAGCTGGATATATCTACATTCCCCAGTTAATGTTGGCGTTTTCACTGAGGCTCGAACCCAGCACCCACCGTTTCAAACGTCAAGGCGTTGTCCATAAGACCACCTGTGGAAAAAGGGCCACCTCATGTGTAACGAGTATCAGTTATTATCAAATTCAATTTGGACTTTGGGGAATGTAAGTACATCCAGCCGACACCAATTCTCTCCATCTGTAACTTACGGCTATTTATGTCCATCATTGGTTTAATACCCGTATTTTTCCAAGCGTAGTTGTGAAAGGCGTTCCCTATTTCCGTGTCATCGGCATGGAACATTATAAATACTTTTCGGGCTGACTCGACTTCCCTATTTAGTCACTAAAATCACTTGCTAAGATAATGCACCTAATCATTTTGATTTTTGCAGGAAGGTCGGTCGGTAATTTCACTTGTCCAAAATTCAGGCATTGGGTGTGGAAGTCTAGATTATGGAACAGCATCCATTTGTATCTTGTCTTTTAGTACTCTAAGGGATCTATTCAGCTGAACAGCCACACACAGGACTGCCCATTGTGATTCAATCGACCATTGAGTTTTCCTGTTTGGAGCCGAATTCTAACTTTACACTGCCAAGTATATGGGAACTAGCAAAAGAATTTTATTGTATTGCCCGAATAAGATTAAGTGACTAACTGCATTACTAGGTTTCCAGTCTGAAGTTAATAGAGTGGTTTTGTAGATGGCAGAAAAATAACATTGGCGGGATGCTTGTAATAAGATGGAAGTTGGTCGCCGCAAGGCAATTTACTGCTGTTACACCTCTGCCCCTCAACAGTGTGACTTCGCCCTTTAACTCCATCTACAGAGTAACCAACTTGTCTTGTCACAGTAACTGCTTTTAACCTAGTCTCTGTCCAATCGACCTTCTCGACAGGTTAAAATCTGCATCAAATCTTGTTCGATCTAATTCAGCTCGGTAAGAGATTGAAATATTTAGACCTATTCACCACCTGAAGATAGTAACTATCCGTCGAGATTAGGCTGTCAATCTTATTAATTATCCGAAGACTTTCGGCGAGTGAAACAAGATTATTATTATTACTATTAATGTTGCTTTATTAGATCACTCTCCTTAAATGTTGACACTCTGATGTTTGGTCCTATCTTTCAGTCACCTTAATTTACATTGTTTCGGATCTTTATCTTGTAAATGTACATATGTTTCAGGTTTACAGTCCTGTTAATGTAACTGGTAAAAATGAACTTCAAGACTGGGAGATCAGTAAAACTGATGCTGCAGAATTATTAAAGTTTGCATTTGACATTAAGAATCATGATACAGTTCAACATATACTTGATCATGCTTATCAGATACGTGATTCTGCATTATCGAATTCTCATGAGAAGTCTAATGGTGATGGGGTTAGTGGACGTAAGTAATAATGTTCTTTTTATTTGCTACAATGTCTGTTTCATGGTTATATCTCTTCGGTCACCTTTTTAGAGATCTTGATTAACTGTAATGGTATAGGTGGTGGCATTGTTTTGTAGTTGTACACTCTGCATACTTCTATTGTTATTCATAACTCTAAGTACAAGTGCATTGTGTTACCAGCGCATTTATGCGTCGAAAAATCTGCAGCAAACATATAATGGAAGTAAATTCGCCTGTATCATTCTATATGGAAATAATTGATGAAACACCTTATAGATGGTTGGTCATCATGTTCTTAATGTTCACATTCTGTTTGTGCATCATGGTATCCGGAATACTATCGGATATACGTAAGGAGTGCTAGAAGTATCAATCGTTAATTGTTGCCTATTCTCATTTCTTTTAGGGAATTACTGAAACTATGAAATCATAACTCACGTTTCTTTGATGTCCTATGATTTATCAGTCTTTCATCTTTGAATTAAATTTCTTCTAGTGGGATGTTTACAGTTTGTCTCGTTTTCACTATAGTTTTACAGAAATCTATAACTCTTGTAGGACGTTTGGCTGTCAAGTAGTATTCCTGACATTTGTTCTTCCGCGCTTAAGATACATAGAGTTTAAAATCTTTGCCGTTAAACTATAGCTCAAATTCAGTGAAAATAATAATCTGTTAATCGATTCGTAGTTATTATTTTTTCAGTTTTCTCATGCTCGTTTATAACGTTTTTATTCAACTTCGTTGTTTACCTACATTTAAGTTACTGAATGAACAGTCGTTTTTGATTCATCAACTGGTTTTCATTATCTCTTACAGTATCTCATCTGTTCCATTTCCTGATATCTGCGTTTGCTAGTTAATCAGTATTTGTAATTGATGAAGCGATTTCGATGATTCTGTACTTTATGTTAGTCAAATTTTTTGATATTTATTTTTATTATTTATTTATTTATTTCCTTCACGTTCCCAGTGGAACATAGGGCTTCAAGCTGAAGGCTTGAAGTTTCTGTAGCAGTGTTTATTTTTACAGGATGGGGTTGCTAGCCTCATGACCAACCTTCCCTCTTTACCGGTCTCATTACTGGATAAGTGAGGTAAAGAAGTGCGTCGGTCGGTGGTCGAACCTCGGATCATGTGCATGGTCGGCGGGCATGCTAACCTCTGTATCACCGACGCTTCTCGGCTCTCTGAGCTAAGATCATGTGTAGTATCTGTTCTTTGCAGTGTAATTTCTGCAACGGTCTCTAAACTGAGACCAATGAAATTTCTTGATAAGTGTATATTAAAGTATCTCACCTAGGCTCAGTAATTATCGTCAGGCAGAACATTCATAAAATCATCAATAGTTATTTATTTCCTAAATATTTTATTTCATGCTTAGAGTTTACCTGAAGTAAATGAATTTTGTCAATGTTTTGATTTCTTCTGTAACATGTTATTGATCTTTTTTACCGCAGAGTACTTATACGAAGGAATGTTGAGTCAGCTTCCGGATTTGGCTAATTGCTATGTTCATTATGATGCTGATGTACGAAGAGTATTTAAAGGTCGTCGTCGTCCACTAATCGAATCATCTTCTACATCAGAGAATAATCTAAATGAAGTGACTTCAGCATCATTATCTCGCTGTTCTTCATCTGCCCGTACAACTCCCAACCTCACGGACAACAGAAATGCTACAGATCTAAGGGACAATCTAGTTACCAATAATTTTGAATGTATTGAAATCGCTGATATACCATCGTGCGAAATTCTCACTTCCTCGGATGAATCAAATGACACTACTAACTCACGCACAAATAAACAAAACGTCACATTTCGTGGACGAAAATTTGATCGGCCTAAATGATCAGTCGTAGGAAACAGGCAGTAGTATGTCTTTTCGTCCTTTTTCCTTCGGTTTACTAAGCCTGTGGTGCTTACTCTAAAAATGTCTGATTTATTCAAAAGAGTGGAGAAAATCAAGTTGAGCTGTTTCTGGTGTTTACTTCTAATTTCCTAATCCATTTCATCCCCTGCTTTTTAATCTCTCACTTTTGTTGATTTTTATTCTCACACATATGTAAATGTGTATCTCTGAATTCCTATTTTTATTTCTAACATCGAAGTTTTCCGGTTAAATGTATAATTCCTAAGCTTATACACATCGTTGGTTGTTATGTGTAGGTAACATATTCATGTATCTGTGTACAATTAATTTTGCTCCCATTTTGCAGTTTCTGTACTCTTTGATGGCGAAATCAATAGCTTCATTGAAATGTGTTGAGATAACTTTTTGTTTTGAAGTTTCATGATTTCTGTTGATTTCTGTGTTATTCGCACTATATATAATTGAAGTTTTTATTGTTATTATACCAACATGACCCTTTTTAAAATGAATACGTTATATTTTACTGTTATTTTACACTAGGCTTCCTTTTCCTATTTGTTGTTTTACCTATAAATATTTTCCTCACAAAAAACCAGTTATTTGTTTCTTATCTACGTTGTCGTTATCACTCCACTCACTGTTCAATGGTTATTTTCTTGCATATACCACTGTTTTTTTTTTAACGTCCTTCCTGATTTCGTTTTATGTAATAGTAGTAATAATAATAATAAAAATGATAGTAATAATGATAATTCTTTTACGTTTTGTTAATCGCATTCTATGCGTAGATTTATATCTTCATATTTCTTTTACTTATTTCACATTCATGTCTGTTTTATTCCATCACAAAGTGTTCCTTTGATTTATGCCTCATCCACACAGCAGTTATTTTGATTTTCAAACTTGAAGGTTTTATCATCCCTTCTGTTTTCTATTTATTCATTATCACCTATTGCGAATGTCAATGTATTAAAAATTTAACCTTATATACACAACGTACCTTGAAGATAAAATTCATCCTATGTATTCGTATGCATACATAATTTTAATCGTCTGTGATGTTTTGTCATATCACAGAATCATTTTATACTGGTGAATTGTTTTTAACAATGGTGATAAGAATAATGATAGAAAATAATATATTTCATTTATACTTACGAATATCTTTACTTTTCATACATTTTTGTAGCATATTGTGCAAGGAATGACTGCTGTTTGTATTCTTTTTTTCAACTTATTACGCCTGAAATTTATTAGTTTGTGTCAGTGTGTTTTAAATCTTCCAGAGACCCCCTAATGAATGTGTAATAGGTGAGTGAGTACTAAGTCTTAAATCTCAAGCACCGCACTCCATAATTTCGAAATGTACCAGTACTCTGGACAAAGAAATAACACACTATGTGTATTCTTACAACGAGGAACTTGGGGAATCCTTCGAAGTGAGGCAAGACTGTCTACTATCGCCAATGACCTTCCTGACTGCAATAGATTGGATAATGCGACAGACAACGGGCAATGAAGACACAAGCATAAAATGGACTCACACAAAAAACACGGAGGATCTGTACTTCGCCGATGATATATGCCTTATTTCCCACAAACTGGAAGATATGCAAGTGACAAACAACAATTGATATAAGTATAAAACTTGGGCACTGTGATAGAGTATAATTCCATTATATATAAGATTTTATTTTGATAAATCGCAGTGTTTACAGTTATATGAACTGATGACGTTTCGAGCACAAACTATTGCTCATAATCATATCAAGTTACTCACACAACTTTGATCTCTCATTTATATACATGTGTGGAATGGATTAGATATTGGATTAAAAATCAATGTGAGATAATGTACATTCAGAAATAATCGTACGAGTGTTGTTGATCAATTGCAGTTAGATGGGAAAATTGGACGAGTGTTTTTACAGTCATAATAAGCTGCTTGTTAGAATGTGTTTGAATTGAAATAGAATTTTAAGATTATTTATTATCTTCTTCTGGTTTGACTGATGGCATTAATATGAGTGTTATTGATCTACTATAATCAGATGGAAGATACGACGAGTGTTTTGATAGTCATAATCTCACATTGATTTTTAATCCAATATCTAATCCATTCCACACATGTATATAAATGAGAGATCAAAGTTGTGTGAGTAACTTGATATGATTATGAGCAATAGTTTGTGCTCGAAACGTCATCAGTTCATATAACTGTAAACACTGTGCGATTTATCAAAATAAAATCTTATCTATAATGACAAACAACAAGCTGGCAGAAGAAGCATCCAGAGAAGATAGGACTTCAGGAGAAAATAGATAAAACAGAGATGATGAAGATTCCTGGCCAACAGCAACAACAACAAGAGACAACAGTCAGCCAGCATAAATGGGAGGAACTGAAAGAAACAACCTCCTTTACCTACCTACCTAGGAAGCATCGTTTCAACTACAGGCCGATGGAACTGACGAGGATATCAAAGCCAGAATCGGAAAAGCAAGACAAGCTTTCATTACTCTCAAGTCTGTGTGGAGGTCAACAGCACTCACCATCAGAAATAAGATCTCGATTTTCAACTCCAATGTGAAGTCAGTCAGTTCTACTTTCTATACGGATCAGAGACTTGGCCAGCGCGTCATAAAGAGCACCTCAAACAAACTTCAGACCTTCATTAATAGTTGTCTTCACTCAATACTACTCAAGATCAGATGGCCCGCCAGAAAAGATCAACAACAGGGATTTCTGGCCATGAGCGAACCAACTCAGCAGGAACCGATTGTGAAACAAATAGGCAGAAAGAAATGGAGATGGATTGGCCATACGTTGAGGAAACCATCAAGTGGCATCACTAGACAAGCCATCGCTCTGGTAGAACCCGAAAGGGAATCGGCGAGTTGGTCGTCAGTGATAGGGTGGGGTGACTTGGAGGAGATCATGTGAAGAGGAGATGAAAGCGGGTGGGCAGACTTGGAGCGGAGTGAAAAAGTTGGCAGAAAACCGAAGGCAATGGATACGCGCAGCTGAAGCCCTATGTTCCTCTAGGAATTAAAGGATATAATAATGATGTGTATTCTCAACCGTTTGCACCCAGAAATAGGTAATCTTGATTATGTTCGGCACATACTGCTTATTTCCAGTGAATCTTAAACTACTTTATTTGGCAAAAATTCTCCCGATCGGCAAGCTGTATAACTCTGAGTAGTATGTTGCTCTTAACATGTAATAATATCATCCAAGTGTAGTTATGTTAGACCCCTATTCTGTTATTGTTTGTTGCCATTATCTAGCTTATTGTATTTCATTACTTGGTAACATGTTTGCATCACATTCGAACTCAGCAATTCACTTCTGAGGTTTACAGATTTCATTTATTTAATGATGCCGAAAAATATATTGGTCACTTACAAAGAATTGTAAAATTTCGAAATTACATACTTTGGATTGCAAATTATTTGTTAGAATGATGTTATGGAAAACGTTGAGATTATACCAGGACGATTTTAGTAGTCATTGTTTGTTACACAAGTCAGCACTCTAGCTTGAATTACTAACTTACTGTTGAAACGCATGAATGCGTCACTCTGTCTTTTAAGACTCAATTTTCACACAATGTAGGCTTACAATAAGCTTTTCTTCTGAGAAAGTCGGATCAATCAGAAGTGTTTTTCCCCTTATTTTGCCTTTTTGTAACTTGCGAAAATTTAAATGAAGAAGCGCTAGGGCATTTATGAAGTATTCATGAATGACATTTAATTTCTCACTACTTGGTCTGAATTAAATATCTAAGTTCAGCATGTAAAAGCGGTCTCCACAGACAGTTACTTCTATTTTGTCGTATTATCTGCTGGTCAATCTGACGATGCTATTTAAATTTTTTAAATTCATTATGAAATTGATTGTCGTGTAGCCGTAAAGTTTCGTTTGCTTAAATGTGATTGGCGGTGGTTAAGCTATCGTGCATCAGAACAATGCCCCTTAAACGTGACAGGAAGTAGTTGAACAACGTATTTCGATGTTTTAGGTTATAAAAAATGGAGAAGAAACAACAGTCTACAAGCAACAAACGAACGGATGTGGGAAACACCGAAGGCAGTCAGGATGGCAAAGATCCCTATTTGGAGAAGTGTATTGCATTCGCCGAAATAACGAATACTGATCGGGCTCTAGCCACGATGTATCTGCAGGAGTATGACTGGAATTTAACGGTAAGTAGACATTCTATGTACTATCGTAAATTGCGTTTTGTTGTTTACTTCTACTCTGTTGATTTTTAAAACTTATTAGTCTTCAAAATCATATGACGTACACTATATAGCATATAGCAATCAAAGTAACCGGTGCTTTGTTAGTTTCAATCACTTCTAAGAACTGTCATTTTCCCTTAAATATTCCTGCAGTTATAGGTATTGATCCTTTGAAGTTATCTCTTTGCTTATGTAGTCTGTTCACTCACTTTTTAAGTACGTTTTTTGGTTTTTCTGACTTTCAAGAATACTGTAGTTCATAAAGTTCATCATCATTTTCACTGATTCTTTTTTCTGTTCAGAGTCATTTAAGCGTTAATATGTATTTAAATTTGCTTTGTGTCTTGAATGACAACTGTTACCAAGATCCCACTAATTAAAGTTTGTTTTCTCTTAAACTGAGTTGTTTATTCTTTCTCTCTTTCTTTACCCTTCGTCCACTTATATTCGTATTTATCTCTTGAACTAAAAGAAGCAGTCTTATGTTAACTGTTCGAATTGATATTTAATTTGCAATTAACAGTGTTCTCTGAGCTGGTTGGTTTAGTTGCGGAGCTTTCGTCGTCTTTCTGTACAACATCTTCAGCGCAGTATTTAGCGAAGTCAAATGATTTAAAATCTCCATGAATGATGATACAATTGCGTCTCCTGGTGACCGTTTTCTATTGATTGGGATTTCAAACTTTCTGGTCACCTGATTTACTTTTTATTAGTTGATATATTTCATCTATATTAACGTGTTTATTAATGACATTTTCGTTTGAGTACCAGGCTTCTAGGAATTCCCTGGCACATTTGGTGTTTCCTCTGTCTAAGATTTTGATATTATCCCAATCAAATTGATATCCATAATTATCTGTATGGATTGATACTAAAGAATTGATATCATGTCTTTTCACGGCTGATTTGTGTTCTTGGATTCTTATTCGAAGGGGACGCCCACTTTTGCCAATGTAATGTTTGTTACAGTTCCTACAATTTATTTTGTAAATGGTGTTAATTTTATCTCCTTTTTCTATCGGATCGAATTAAGCGATTCGGCTGGTTTGTGTGCTATCAAACGGTTTCATTATTCTAGCCGTTAATTCAGAGATATTTCTGATGTATGGTAGGATGAGTTTCTTTTCGGTCTTTGGTGATAGTTCTTTGTTGGTGCTTTAATTCGACTTTAAACACTTTTTGATGAAATTTTTTGGATAACCATTCTTCTTGAACACCGTTTGTAGGTGTTTTCTTCCATTCTTTCCAACTCAGGAGTGCTACAGTGTGTTTGAACTCTTTTAAACAATGTCTGCACACAGTTTTGTTTGTGAGTAATTGGATTATTGCTAGTGTAGTTGAGTATTTGATCTGTATGCGTTGATTTTCTATATACTTGTGTTTCTAAATTTCCCGTGTTGGTTCTCCTGATTAAGACATCGAAAAATGGGATTTTGTTATGTAATTCTTCTTCTCTTGTGAATTTGATGTCTTCAAATATGTTATTTATTAATTTATAGGTATATTCTAAATCATTTCTCTTAGTTATTACAAATGTATCATCAGTGTAACGTACCCAGATTTTCGGTTTAATTATAGGTAGAACTATTAATTCTGATCTTTGCATAACGGCTTCAGCTATTAATCCTGATATGGGCGATCCCATTTAATTTAATTGTTAAAGAGTATCCATGATATTAATCTAAGTATGTGCAAAAAAACAATAATTTGGAATTTTCTTAAGTACTCCTTCATTTACATTTATATATATATATATATATATATATATATATATATATATATATATATATAATTCCATCTTTTTGGGTATATTTGGATGTTGGATGAATGGCTAAATCTGCTGCTGCTGCTAGTTAGTTCAATATGCATCTGAATATCCTTTCATTTCCCGAAGATTTTTGCTACATGACCTCCATCCTTTCAGTCAAAAAATATTTGAAGAAAGCTATGAATAAATGGGGCAATATGATTTCAGACATAATTGATGTTGGCAAATAGAATATAGATACTTCATTTACCCAACCCCAACCCGCATAAACCCTGTTGGATACATGGATAACGTATTCTTCAGTATAGATAAAAATTAATATACATGAGACTAATATATGTAAATTGATTTTGATTTTTGATTTACAACTTGATTCCACACTGTATTTTTGGTACAAGTATGGAATTTTCAGCATGGATATCGTTAGCCCAAATTTTGCAGGCCGACCATAGATATCAGGTGTTCGTCGGCAGGGGATCGAACTTTGGACCATGTGCGCATGGTCGGCGAGAGTCCTAACCACTGTGCCACCGACGTGCACATAAAGCCATAAAGCTGTGTGATCGCCTTGATATGATTATGAGCAATAATTTAAGCTTGGAACGTCATCAGTAAGTACTACTGTATTACACTGTGTGATTTTATCAAAATAAAATTTTCTCCATAATGAATTTATACTCTACCACAGTGCCCAAGTTTTATCCTTGTATCAATAACCTTTTCTTCTCTGGAATTTCTTACTCTCATTAATTGTGTGCTATTCAGATATCGCCAAACCTATTTATTGTGGAGTTCATATGTTCGCGCGCTTTATTCCAGTATTCAGCTATAAACATATTGTTGTATACCCCATATATCCCTGTATTGTTGCTTGCTATTTGAGCAACCTGAAAGGTTCTACATAAACTTTTGAGAAGTTATTTGATGAGATTGCGAATTTTTGTCTAGCGATACGCGCTCTTGTTTATTAAATTATTTTTATCTCACACATCTCTATTTGTTGTAAGGGACTATTTGTTTCCTTCTGTGTGGGTTTATTTGGTAATCTATTTGTTGTACAGTTTTAGAATAATTCCCCACATGCATCTTGATTTGAAGCAATAATCATAAGTCTTTCCGTTCAAAAATTTCTATCTTAAGCTGGATAATTGCCAGAAATTTGAATCTGCAGTACTTAAATTGGAACTAATGAATTTGTCATAGATTTATTGACCGTCAATAAATTCACCGGTTATTCTCTGTATGTGATTAACGACTTGTTCTTAGTTGTGTAATTCCCTGTCCTGTGAAGCAATTATGAATTGTGGAATAAATATGAATTTAGTTAAAATCTTGACATATCGAACATTTTTAAATTTTCTGTAGACTCGTTTGTTGTCAATTTATTGATCTCTGTTTGGTTCGTACTCTCAGTCAGATAATTCGTATAATAATCTGCTTGTATGAGTATTATGTTGCAATTGTCACCACAGATTATTGGTTATCTCGGAAATAAGTCATACATACTGAATAACTGTTTTGGTCGGCTTCGTTACTACCAAATTATTCTGGTCATATTTACTCTCTTTTACATCTAAATGGTGTCCGCAAATTAGTCGCCGAACAATAACAAAGAATGAGGTTGTGAATATGTGTTACCATGCCTAGCCACCGCCTTTCTCCGATGAGCAATGTTAGCTGACATGGGATCAGGTTGGAAAAGAGCCAGTGATGGTAAACATGACATTAATCACTGAAATCCACAACAATTAGTTTAAGCCAGCCATGTAAGGAGGTGTAGACTCCCTGACTGGTTAGTGTCCTCGAGATGGTAAACACCGATGGGTGGAGACAATTGTTGATTTCGACCAGAATCGTTTTTAATGTCGCAAATGGATTTACTCTCTGTGACTTATCACATCCAATAAAATTATGTTGTTCTTTCGAATTACTATTCATTTTGCTGGGTATTTCTGTTTATTATCTCACTTTTGAACCTCTCTTTACTCTCGTCCCTTGCTTTTTGTGCTACATGGAGTGTGGCCATTCTAACTGCTTCACTTCTGTGCAAAGTTCAATGCAGAAAATCAGTCAGTCAGTCAACAACTAATGTAATTAAGTGGTGTCAAGATTACTACGTGTTTTCTGATACCATTGTTTTGAAAAAAGTTAATCAGTAGGTTAGACGGATGAGTTACTGTTTCGTCTTGACTGCAAAATAAGCGCGAAATAAAATCAGCGTTGATGTTACTATTCTACCTCTCCGCAGTATTTATATGTTAGTATTACAGTGAGTAACAGGGAACTAATTGCTTCAATAACTTCTATTTCGATTTGGTGTGTTTGTGAGTATTTACTTCGTTCATAAGAGTTTAGCCATCATCTTTTCACTGATTTTTAAAGCGAAGACTGTGTAGATTTTCAGGATATCTGTGTGTTTCCGACATAGGACTTTGCACACATGTGCGGCACTTCAAGTCGCCACACTCCATGTACCACACAAACCAAGAGAAGAAAGCAGAAGAAATGTATAATAGAGACAGTAAACAGAGGTGTGGGACAAAGGAATAATGGTAACGAAGATCAAAACAGTTTCATCGGAAATCATGAGTCACAAGGAGTGGATGCATTTGTGCTAGCCATTGAGAACGATTTTGAACCATATCACCAATTGTTTCCAACCATTGGTTTTTACTGTTCCAAGGAGCCCAACCAGTCAGGAAGTCTACACCTTCCTACGTGGCTGGCTTAAACTGTGTTGTGGATTTCATTGACTGGTGCGATGTTTTTGTTTGACCTCCGCTAGCTCTTTTCCAGCCTGACGCTATGTCAGCTATATAGCCCATTGTCGAGGAAGGCGATGACTAGGCATGCGTAACACATATTGCAGACATATATTTGACTAGTTTGGACACAAACAGTGTATTTTAGATTTTAACCTCACTGGCGTTGTTTAGCAGGCGAACCGAAGATCGTATCTGAGTTTATTTCATTGTGCAAAAACATATGCCATGCATCTGGTTTTAGCCACACAACTGCCACATATATTTTTTCCTGATGGATATAAATGAGTGTTATTCTTTGTGCAATTATTTGTAATACATAAATCCTTTATATTGTAAAACTTCTAAATTATGCAATCTCCTCACTTTCTGGGCCATTAAAAGAGAATCATCGTTGGGAATAGCAGTGTTCTTCAGGATAAATGATATTAAGTCGAATTGCCATCAAGGTTGCGTTTTAACCTTATGTATTATTATTATATGATTATTATATCCTTTAATTCCTAGAGGAACATAGGGCTTCAGCCGCGCGTCTCCATTGCCTTCGGTTTTCTGCCAACTTTTCCACTCCGCTCCAAGTCTACCCACCCGCTTTCATCTCCTCTTCACATGATCTCCTCCAAGTCACCCCACCCTATCACTGACGACCAACTCGCCGATTCCCTTTCGGGTTCTACCAGAGCGATGGCTTGTCTAGTGATGCCACTTGATGGTTTCCTCAACGTATGGCCAATCCATCTCCATTTCTTTCTGCCTATTTGTTTCACAATCGGTTCCTGCTGAGTTGGTTCGCTCATGGCCAGAAATCCCTGTTGTTGATCTTTTCTGGCGGGCCATCTGATCTTGAGTAGTATTGAGTGAAGACAACTATTAATGAAGGTCTGAAGTTTGTTTGAGGTGCTCTTTATGACGCGCTGGCCAAGTCTCTGATCCGTATAGAAAGTAGAACTGACTTCACATTGGAGCTGAAAATCCGGATCGCATTTTTGATGGTGAGTGCTGTTGACCTCCATACAGACTTGAGAGTAATGAAAGCTCGTTATGCTTTTCCGATCCTTGCTTTGGTATCCTCGTCACTTCCGTCGGCCTGTAGTTGAAACGATGCTTCCTAGGTAGGTAGGTAAAGGAAGTTGTTTCTTTCAGGTTCCTCCCAGTCATGCTAATTGTTGTCGGGCAGGAATCTTATCTTATCTTAGCACTGTTAGAAATCCTACAAGGTACTTTTGATAACTCCTTTATATGTGGCAGCACTGAAAAGACTTTAAACTCTTAATTACATGAAAACAAAATCAGTCAGCAATTGTCAAACACATTTTCAAATTCTGTAAACAATAATATATATATATATATATGAAGGGCAAATACTCTTAATACAAGTATAAACTTGTATGGAGAAACGATGCTACTATACTTACCCAGCCATTATGCGGCGTATGTTATCAGCATACAATTGGGCGTCTAACTGTTCATCTTCGTTTGGTTGATAAACAGGTAAAAACTATTGTTGGAGTTTAATACAAAAGGGAAACATTTTTACTGCAAATATCAAAGTAAACAACCTACATGAAAAAGCATACGACTAACTAGCCTAATTTAGCATACCAGTCAGTAAAATATTATTCTGAGATCAAACTGACTCAAACACAATTAGTTTGCAAAATGAAAACTTTTATATCAGACAAGAAAAGTAGCAGAGATCCCTCCCTATTGCTGATCTTTTCTGGCCATCTGATCTTGAGTAGTATTGAGTGAAGACAACTATTAATGAAGGTTTGAAGTTTGTTTGAGGTGCTCTTTATGATGCGCTGGCTAAGTCTCTGATCCGCATAGAAAGTAGAACTGACTGACTTCACATTGGAGTTGAAAATCGAGATCTTATTTCTGATGGTGAGTGCTGTTGACCTCCACACAGACTTGAGAGTAATGAAAGCTTGTCTTGCTTTTCCAATTCTGGCTTTGATATCCTCGTCAGTTCCGTCGGCCTGTGGTTGAACCGATACTACGTTATGTACAGGAAGTAAATATTTCTTGATAGTACATACTGTACACAAAAGTATTTTCCAGAATGAGGGTATTAACTGTATGTATATTTATGTTAGTTTGTTCAACATTCTTCATAAGTAGTGACTCATTCATATCTCAAAAGCAAAACAAAGTGTTGCTTAATTTAAATGGTTTTTTTTTGTTGAAAATAATGTGAATTGCGACAAAATTTTTGTGATCATAATCATATTAAACATCAGTAGACATATAGGCCATGTTATGCTTGAAATAGTTCTGGGGGAATTGTGGATCTTTGGAGGGTCATCATCTTTACTGTCATCTTTACACTTCTTTGTGGTTGGATGTGGATTACTTGTTTTATCATTGAGATGTGAAAAACACCTTATTTTTTATTCCTTTACGTTCTAAGCTAGATTCAAGCTAGAGCTTTGAGGTTTCATAAGCAGTGGTATTTATTTTTATGGATTGGTTTTACTAGCCTCATGCCCAACCTCCTCTCGTTACCAGTCTTATTCCTACCTTAGCGAAGTAACGGAATGTGTCGGCCGGGGATCGAACTGCGAACCACCTGGCGAGTATTCTACCGCTGTGCCACCTATGAACCCTATCTTATTTACTTCTTTTTTTATTCATGTTAAGCTTTGTGTTTTATGTTTATCTAACGTTTACTTATTTTTTTTTAATCGCATCATATTGTCTTAATCTATCTGCTTTATATACCAGTATTTTTTGGTATTTTGAAGAAAATCGATTGTTCAAAGGTGGTATACACGTTCATATGTGTGTAGGAAGAATAAAATTATTTGAAGTTTATATAAATCAGTTATATTGCAATCTATTTACAGTGAACTCAGGATTATTCACTACTAAAATGAGCTTCATGAATGTTTAATGTAATCTTTAAGTTTGGCGACTTCATTCATATACAGTTTTTCTCCCCATCAAAACGTAGAAATGACCATTTTCCAATCAATCTGTGCATCTGTAAATTTCCAACAAGTATAAAGGCGTTCCTGATAAGTAATTTGTTTTTTACAAGCTACTTTTCATGAGAAATATATTATTTGGGAATTGTTGATATGATATAAACACTAGTCATCTTTTGATGCTTCAACAGTTCACATCAACCACCTTTTCGACGATCGTACCCAGGATAATGTGATTACCAGCAGAGGAAGTGTGTGCCGTTAGGTCTTTGCCACATTTTCCGATTTGTGATATTATAGCGTGACTTTTAGTTGGCATTACTTCATTTAGATTTGTCATACTCAAGCATGAAGACTTCATCGACAGGTATTTTTCATTGTAAATCAGAGATATCTATTGGGTAGTCAGTAGGGAATAAAAGATTAATATTGACGTATCGTGCTTATGGAGTGTGTGATAGATTTTGAGGGGAACTTCATTACGGACCAATGATGGTTACTGAATCGATGAGAACCAAAAAGGAAGCCATTTAATCATCTTGACTTTTCAGGAACGTGTAACCTATATTTGAAATGGGGTTGAACAATATAACAATATAAATAGGACTGTGTCACCCCCTCCCCCTAAACCTATAAAATTATATTTGTCTAAATTATTTATTTTGACCACTTCATCTTTAATTTACGTGTTATCCTTGTAAAATTAATTTATTCTATCCATTTCCACCTTTTAAATCTGTATTGATTTTCTTCGTTAACTATTAACTCATTGACACTGTTTAATTATTGTTAACAAACTTATCGCTACTTGATTGGCAAACTGTTGTATTGTAATTAAAATGCTATATATATATATATATATATATATATATATATATATATATATATATATATATATATATATATATATATATATATTAGAGTAGTGCCAAAGATGAGGATCTAATCGAAAAGTAAATATTTCTTCGCTCAATCTTTCTGTTTTCTAAACTTGATTTTTACTCCTCATACTTAAAAGAAATCTATCATGAACTATGTATAAATCATCTTCAACCATTTCGCAGCAACTTGAGGTGGAGTGGTGTTTTCATAACATATGGTCTGTTTCGCCTTTGCGTTGTATCCACGCAAATGTTCACGAATAGATGCAAAAAATTTCTCTGAATACGGAAATCAGACTTTTAATTAGTAAAGTGTTCCCCAGTTAGGATAAGTTAGTGCAATTATCGGTTATCACATGCGAATTTTTCTTACTTCAGTTTGTAGTACTGTAAAATCATAAAGAATCTTCAACATTCTAAAAGACTTACTGTTATTGTAACCCGTCTTGTCGTTTCAATAGTGGGCAGCATTTTTGTACTGAATGGTTGAAGTGGTGAAAAGTGGATTATTTTTATTCTGTGATATATTGAAGATCAGTTCAAGGTATTTCGTTATCCAAATCGAATAATGAGATTTTTTATCGATGTGTTCTAAACAAAACTCATTCACCAAGACTGTTAATAAATATGAACACTGATTTCTCTGATACATTTTTCCTCGTTTGTATTATCAGTAATTGAATGTATCGACGGCATTTTGACTTTCGTTGCTCTTTAGATTGGTTGTTTTTATGATTTCTTTATTTACTAGTCTCCTTTATGTTATGCAATATATTTGTTCTTTTGTGATAAGAATTTTGCTTGTAAATACTTTATTATATTGACCTTTTTTCCTAAATAGATATACAGCTTTATCTTAGTAGCACTGTATCCCGTGATGATTGTGCTAGTGTTTATTTTCCGCTAATGTGCATCTTTTATTATATTGGTAGACTACTCTTAGGTCACAAGTGCGAATACAGAAGGAATTTGAAAACTGTTAAATAGAAACGGCGACACTAAATTCTTGTTGTTGGTACCGGAGTGCTATATGAGGAGGCCTAAGCTTTAATTTTCACTCAATTGGTTTTTGAATCGTTTAGTTGGAGAGAATAATTCAGAAATCTACTTTTTGTTGAATTAAAATCAATATGTTGTTGTTCATGGTTTATTTCGACTATAAATTCTAAACCATTATGTGATAAAATGAAATCCCACTATTTGCAGATTCTTAGTTTAAAAAGCAACAGGTAGTCATTAACGTTGTGGTCGGTTGGTTGGTAATGAGTCAACATTATCTCGGAAAGTTCATCAAAGTATCGATGATATCACCAATAAGTCAGTTTTTGCTAAATGGATTTGTGGATTTAGCTACATTTTTCTGCTTGGCGTGTCTTTTTCATCATTGAGAAAGCTTACGGAAATGTGTTTCTCTTAGAATTCTTTGTTGGTAAGCTAACATTATAGCCTATTCTCTGTCAAAGTGTATATATAACTGATGATGAATTTGTTTATTTTGTGTTGTTTTCGATAGCTGTCGGTCGATGAATATTTTTCACGACAACAAGCGAAGTCCAGGTAAGTGCAAAGAATCGCCATATAATAATATCGCTTAACCCTTTTATCTGTGTTATGTGTCACGCATTTAAGAAATTACCAATTATATAAACTGTTCGGAATCATCTTCAATATGATGATCATTAATCTAAATTTCGTTGGCGGTAGCCAGTACTGTGTTGCCTAATAGTCGTATTCTGATGAATCACTTTCATGCAGAACATATCAAAGTGCTTTATACCATAGGTAATGGACAGCGCAATTCTCCAAACTGCCTGTAAAATCTTATCTATAATGGAGTTGCCTGTAAACGTGTGTGAATTATCTATAGCACGAAGGAAACTGCTCTTTCACTCTTCAATGGGAAACGTCATAGAATAACTTACTTTTTTATTCCCATAATCTCCACATTAACTTGACTTTCAGTGTACTTATATATATATATATATATATATATATATATATATAATAAAATATTTGCATTCTGCCCCCAACTAAGTTAGCTTAGTATGTAAACTGTTACGTTATCAATATGTCGTGAACTGGCAGAAGTTAGAATTCAAGGAACATTGGATCGGGTCCCAGTGGCTCGATGATCTACGAGCTCGCCTCATAACCAGAAGGTCCTGGGTTCGAATCCCGGTGGTTGCGTACTGCTGAAGAGTCCCAAACTAGGACGAGACAGCTGTCCAGTACTCCCAGGTTTTCCAGTGGTTCTCTAACTGATGTCAGCTCATGATTAAATCCTCCATGCAATCAAACAAAATCCATACATAACCAATACTTGAAAATTTTCAATATATGTTGGTGACTTAGAATGAAATTATCAATCCACAGTACTTTAATGTTCTGCTTTGCTTAATAGTAGTAATTAGGTTAATATATCTAAGTGTTTTAGGTGATCTGATTTAGTGAGATAAAGTGAATCCCAATCGAAAATACAAAATAATTAGTTACAGGATTTTCATCATGATCTGGAATTAGTTAGACAATCATTGAAAAACCTGGGAGTACTGGACAGCTGTCTCGTCCTAGTTTGGGACTCTTCATCACTACGCACCCACCGGGATTCGAACCCAGGCCTTTCTGGTTACGAGGCGAGCTCGTAGACCATTGAGCCACTGGGACCCGATCCAATGTTCCTTGAATTCTAACTTCTGCCAGTTCACGATATAGCGCAACCGCTAGCCAATGTCTTCGGCAAGTATTTGTCCTCACACCCGACCTGCTGCACCAACACTTGAAAATAATTTGTACTGACTGGTATCAATTTTTGTGTTCTATCCAACGTGATATCCTGTTAATAATATTCAAACCAGGGATTTTTCGCTTCAACTGAACTGACTGAATTTAAATAAATGTTGATGAGGTATTAACAGAAATTTTCCTGTAGATACATACTCTTACTATGTAACAGCCGGATAAAATGTTGATTGCTGTTTATTGATTTGATTTTTCAAAGTTGTATTTTCACTTTTAATTTCCAATCTGACTGATTGTTGTCACTGTAAGCAGCAACTCAAAAAGTTGGCAATCTGCTGTTTCACCAAACACTGGGGAATTCTTCTTACAAATTACCTTTCTACTTGGGAGTGCATTTCAAATATGTTATGGTCTAATGTCAGGATTTTTGAAAGCCTCTGTTGTGCGATAAAAATTGATTGATGTTGTGTCATTGAAATTGTAAATTTCGTTAACTGGTTAGAAACTAAAATAAGATTAAATAAACAAATTTACCACCGTAATCTAATTGAGCAGAGCTCAAATAAAATCGAGACTGAACAAAAGTCATACCAACAACAGTGGTGATAAATAGCAGAGATTTCAAAGGGGCTAGGGGAAGACAATAATGCAATTAAGAAACAAAAATTAAGTATTTGGCGTTAAGATGGGTCAAGTCCATTGTGTGGGTTTAATGACTGATCAAACTTCTTTAGTATGCAGAGTTCAGGTTTTAACATGTGAATCGCCACTGCTTCTGCGGTTTGGAGAATTTTGATTCATACACTTTTTTCGTGAGATTCCCAAGTATTCTGTAGATACCTTTGATGCTGTTTTGTCGGTTTCCTTGGTGTCATCTGTGTATTGACTTTTCAATTGTAATCTTCCTTTAGCTCATCAGTAGCTACCTGAACATTAAACGACTCTTCCGCTGACTTCTTCCTTGAATCATGTATCAGGATTCGACTATGGACATATGCATTCATACAGAGAGCCCCAACAGTGGGGTACTTCTTTTGCTCTGTGTCATTTCTTTAGAATTTATCTTATCTGTGCTGGTGATGATGGACTGCTTGACACAAATAAACACTTAAAAGTATGAATTGAAAACTTCAGAAAAAACGGTCAAATCTCTACTTTTTTTTGAAGTTCATATGCACGGAATTCGTGTTAAAACTCTTTATTAGGATAATGTTATCTCTAACATGAACTTGCACCAGATTCCATTCCTTTTCTTTCGAACTGAATTGTGATCTCATCTGTTCGTAATTTATCTCCCTTACTAGATACTGCACAGTTTCCATTGTAATTAATAGTAACCATGTTATTTGGCACTGGCACCAATGTAGAGTCTTATGAATACCCTGAGCAACAATCTTCGAATGTTTGCCCTGTGACTTACTCCTGTTAAGTGTAGGATGATGCTACACGACTGGACTACATTGACTCCTAGCTTCAAGATAGAGAGGGAATTGGTAGAGCGTGTTTGACCACTTCACACATTTGGGAAGTTGCATCATCCCCAACCGACTGATGGCTGGAGAGATTTCTGTATAGATACGAAAAGCTCTTATGGCATTTTCTCCAACTTACGCCATCTCTGGTGTAGATGTATCGGACTGGCTATCGATCAAAGACGTATGTACTGCTAAGCAGTTCGGTTCACCTCCTTTTTATCCATGAGACATTGATACCGAAAGCGAAAGACATGAAAACACTAGCTGGTTTCGATCATGGGTGCCTGCGTTCTGTCTTTCGTGTTAGGCAGGATAATAGGGTGAGCAATATTGAGATTAGGCGTCGATTGAGTGCTAGGTAAGGAGGGAAAGTCAGTCGACGAGGTTGTGGAGCTGCAATGCTTCAGATGGCTGGAATATGTGGCTAGGACATGCATAGGAATCACCATATTCGACGGGAAATGTTAGCTGACATAGGATCAAGTTGGAAAAGAGCCAGTGGTGGTCAAACCAAAAAATGTCATCAGTCACTGAAGTCTTTGACAGTTAGTTTAAACCACGTAGGAAGGTGTAGACTACGTGGTTGAGGTCTTTTTAAGTTATTTTCATTTCATTAAACTATGCGCTACTCGAAGACTATTTTCTCTTAGTGGTAAAAATATTATAATTTTTGGCTTATAAATTTCGAAATTCCAAATGAACCTTAAAGCAAATTATTAGGAAAGTCAATTTATTAATTAACTAACATAAAAGTTCTCTTCAATGTATCCTCAACATTTTTTTTGCTTTTTCCCTTTTTAATACCTTTTGTAAGTGCTTGAGTTGCACCATTCCTTAATGGAATATCTATGATTTGAATCAAGAATTTTTAATCACTTTTGTGTCCTCACTGAACAAGGTCAAGTTTTTTATTTGGTAAGCAACTGCATGTTGGGACTGTTCCATCTAATGAAATGACAAATTCACTTATTAGGGAAATTTCATATGCTGTAATATACTTGCTTACTACAATATGTTGAGTAGCTAAAGTGAATTTCCAAAACTAGTTGGTAACACAAGTATTATCTCTTATCAACTTTTGATCCAAGAATCAATTCTCGATAACTCTGTAGTTTTTTATTTGTTTTTTTTAAATTTTTGATTACAGCTTGATTCCACACTGTATTTTTGGTACAAGTATGGAATTTTCAGCATGGATATCGTTAGCCCAAATTTTGCAGGCCGACCATAGATATCAGGTGTTCGTCGGCAGGGGATCGAACCTCGGACCATATGCACGGTCGGCGAGAGTCCTAACCACAGTGCCACCGACGCTCTCGTAATATTTTTAGAATGCTTGTTCCAGTGCCATTATCAACTCACGGGATTGCGTGCATCTAATGACATTTTCTTGTATCTTACAATGCTTAACATTGTTTCAGTAAGTTGACAGTGCAAGTGCATCGTAGGAACCAGTTTGAATCATTCACAATCGTGGCTAATGTTGTCGACATCCTATTGTATAATCAAAGTGTTGTGTGCAGTTCGTAAATTATTCATTCAGTACTTTAAAGTGTCTTTGGTAATTTGGAAATGAGATTTTGGCATGGGTTTTCAATAATGAAGCACATGGCCCTGGTCTCATTGGTCGGCTATCAGATGCAGTCCTCTTTTTCAGGCCTAGAATAGTTTTTGAAGCTATTTGGTAGCTAAAACATCCGGAAACGTCTACTGAACTTACCTAACGTCCATATTTCCTGAGCATTATCACACGCAGTACTAAGTGGCGACGCTGAAATTCCATGATTCGCACAGATCTAGATTTGCATTCCAATCGGCAGCAACTTCGCAAATGCTTTTAGAGAAGAAAACTGTTTAACAGAACTTCCGTCTTTGTTGCAGCTGGCAGCCTCATCCGCTGATATCAGTTTGAAAAGTTTTCTAAACTCAGGGTTGTCTATTCGGAGAACTGCATGTTATCTAATGCTGTGCCTGGCTTTTGGTGAACTGGCGGGTGTTAACACACAAGCATTGTTGAATTTTGACAAAGTGGTTTATGAATGTGGGATGTAGCTATCAGGCTAAAACATTTACCTGCTGCTCAGAAATTTTCATCTGGAGGATGAATATTGTGGAAGTAGCTATGTTGCTGCCAGAAATTAAGCTGCATATACTTATACACATTCCGTATTGTACTGAACTTGTACCACGTTTAAGGTTAATTGATTGTTTAAATTCATTAGAGATATTTTTCACTATTGCCGTCGGATATTGTTCCAAATGGTTTAGCTGACTCACTGTGATGTCATAGGACATTGGTGTCTTTACGCTGCAGATGAGGATTAATGATATGAGTTTATCGTC